AAAAAAAAAAAAAGACAAAAATGACCTGTCTGCTAAGGGATAAAACAATAAGTACTTTTATAAAAGACTGGAAATCTTTTTATGGATTTTTTTGCTGAAAATGGAAAAAAAGTGCAATGGTGATTTCTGGGTTTCTGATTGATAAAAGAGTTGAATATGGGACAGAAGGGATCTTTGTAATGTAATCTTAAAGGGGGAAGAGGGATAATATGCTTGCTGCTGCAAAGAAAAATGGAAGTCCCTTCTTTAAATATATTTTTCTTTCTTTTTTCTTTTTCTATCTGCATTGCTTTTTGCACTTTTCTTTTATCTTCCTTCTTTTTTCTAAGTTTTGTTTATATTTGTTCATGTTTATCTTTTATATATGTAAAAACCACACACACACACACACACACACTGTATGTGTGCATGTGTGTGTGTCACCTTGATCATTTTATTCATTGTTCTGTCCAAGGAAGAGAGACCCATACCTCATAGGTTTTAACTTCTGCTTGAAGAGATAGCAAAACTCTGTCCTTAAATTAAAAACAAGAAACATTAAACCAGTTAATGCAGTTTAAATTTCAGTAGATTTCAAAGATGGGAAATCAATTTTTCCAGCACAATTTTACACATTTTGTTTAGAATACCTCACTCTAGTGTTAACTAGAAACAAAATTGAAGGAACTTTTTTTTTCCTAAGGAGGAGAGAGAGGGAAAACAAATCTGGTTAATTTTCTTTAGAAACTTACCCATTAATCCCTTGCTTCTAATTTTACAGAAAACAATGTAGAATGAATTCTAACTGATTTTCTCTATATATTTTAGCTTTAAATTGTTATAAATATCCTTAGTTGCTAAGATCCTATAGATCCTCAATTTATATATTGATATATGTTTGGTATCTACAGTAAGTTATCTCATTGCTTCCTTTGGGATATATGACATTAAATCTAATCATACACATCTCAGGAGACAGAGATCATCCATGTGCAGGACTCACATTTGAATTATATCTCCTTCACTTGTTCTGTTTCCTGATGTACAAGGTGTAGAGTTTTAAAACTGAGAAATTCCTAATTGCTCTCCTTAGTTTCTTAATTACCCTATGAAAAGTGAGAGCATTTGCATTGTTGAGGCAATGATGGTGTTTTTACTTGGCTAGAGTCCACTGTAAAGCTTGGCCTTGTCGATTTCTTGTTTCTTATTTATTTATCACATTTCTCTGAGAATTTGAAGCATATCAGTTTTGGGTTTCTCCTTTCTTTATCAACAGCTTAATGAATGGATTGAGAGAAAATTATTCCTGTTATATATGGTGCAAAGATATGTAACTGTCATCACCCAGGCTCTATCAAAGCAGTACTAACCACATTTATGATGGTTTTGTTCTGAGTACTTGGTTATGTATCTAATTCCACATTAAGATTTGAATGCAGACGAATTTGTTTGGAGATCCATCTGTTATACTTTCAGTTAAAATACTAGATTAACTAGATTAATACTAAAACACTTCTTTGGTAGTACCCTGGTCTCCCATATTTTGCAGAACAATGTCATGCCAACATGGAAAACATGTATTGCACCAGACTTAAACTATTATGTGCTGTCAGCTCAAAATTTGATCTCTTCCAGCTTGGAAAAAGTCAGGTAGAAATTTAAACAAGAGGCTCAGCATAGAGATTTCAGCAGAATTTAACCGAAACACCTTTTGCATATACAATGCTCCTGTAAGGGAGACCATTCTCTAATGCTAAATTTTTAGCAAGGATCTTTTGCCCAGCCCAGAGAACTTGTACCTTCAGCCAAGATAATGTCTTGCATTTTCTTTGTTGGAAAAAAGATTTCAGTGCAAAAACATGTCCATTAGAGAAAACCTAACACTTTTCCTATCTCAAAATCATGCAAGATTGGGAAAGATGATTTACGTTCTCTTAGAGTATAGATGTTTAATTGTCTAACAGTCCATATAATTTGTTTTCCCTCTGTCCGAATTGCATTTAAGGTCTATTTTACTTATCACTAAGTCTATTTTATATCTCATTTTATTGCTGGTAATTTGTCCACTTCTTTTAGTTTATAAGTTTTGCTTTTAAACCATAAAACCCACTAAAATCATCATCATCATCATCATCATCATCATCATCATCATCATCATCATCATCACCATCATCATCACTACACAAGGAGTAAGACTATGAATAATATTGTATTCTGAAAACATTTCTTTTTCATTTAATTGTTTAATATACATGAGAAATCAAAATTTTGTACCCTATCGGTTTGTTGGTAGCTGTATTCAATTCCCCTGCTTCTTCAGATTTATATCAGGGGATTCAACATAGAGTTTCAAATGCTATATGGGATGGAGAACATTCACCTACAGTGACTAAAAAGCTGAGCTGGGCCTCAGACATGTAACGGAGGCAGTGTTCCACTATAAAACCAAACTAAAAAGATGGAAACCACAGGTGGAGGTTGTCCTGTTTTCCTTTGAGTTTATCTTGAGGATAGTAATAATAATCAGTTTCTTATTAGTAATCCCCTTGATGGTTAACTATTTTGCTCGCTATCTGAAAGCTGCTGCATCCCACTTGGAATGACTGAAAAAAGTCATTATCCATAAACAAGAGAGTTTTAATGCTAAAATTTTATGTTCGGTTCCTATCATGCCGAGCTATAATGTCATCTACAGTAGCTAGTGATCATTAGCTAATGATGAGAAATGCCTCCAACAGCAATTCTGGGTAGCTGATGTCAGTACATTATGCAGATTATATTAAATTAGCAGCACCAATAATTTCACTTGTAATAACGTAGCTTTCAACTAATGTTATCAATATATGAACCACAATATTGCTGTACCTGATTCATAACATATGATTTAATAACTTACAGGCAAAACTCAAGATATTCACATAAACACTTGTATAAATTAGGGTGGTAAAGAGAGCTTTTATCCTGCTCAATTTTTGACAAATAGGATTTTCAAAATTCAAGATATCTGGGAGACTTCATTTCAGAAAAATTGAACAATGCATGTACAGTATTTGCGTGTGTGTGTGTGTGTGTGTGTGTGTGTCCATCCAATGCACTTCCTCAATTGAAATAAAAATCCCATTTCCATGGGGTTCTTGTTCTTGTTTGCTTAATTGCTGCATTTAATATATTAAAGGGTAAAGGGACAAATAATTTCCTAATTGTAATCTAAACCCCTCTCTTGTTTTTAATAAGAACTTTATTAAGTTATAAAAAGCATAAAGATAAAAAATAAAGATAAAAAAAACAAGAACTAATAATCAAAGAGAGAATTAGACAACAACAGAGTTAGAAATAAAGAAAGAATACAAAAGTGATGGAAAGTGAAGAAAGAGGAAGAAAGGAAAAATTACCAAAAGAATGACTTCTGGCTTCTTATACAGCAGATATAGATAAATCATATAGTAACTCCTTACTCTAAAACTACATCTTAACATACATATTTTGTATAACCTATTATTTTAATTAATCATCAAATCCATAAATCATAATTTTTCTTTTCTTTTTTCTTTTCTTTTCTTTTCTTTTCTTTTCTTTGCTTTGCTTTGCTTTGCTTTGCTTTGCTTTGCTTTGCTTTGCTTTG